TTGGTGGAAAGCCACACAGACACAGGGAGAATGTGCAAACTCTACACAGACAGTTGCCCAACAGTGGAATCAAACCTGGGTCCCTGGCATTATGAGGAAGTAGTGCTAACCATTGTGCCACCCAAATCACAGAGCCACAAGTATAGTAAGAGAGTCCTTGACCTCTACAAAACAAAAAAAATCTGGAATGCAAAGTTGCATAAAATTCTAAAAAAAAGCCAGCAGAATACACTTCTACAAGCATAAAGCTTGCCACTGGAAATTTCATTTTGCATCGGTAGCAGGTAAAATATTCTGTTAACTAATAGTAACTAGCAGAAAACATTCTTTTGGAGGAAGTCCATGTAGCATTCAGGATTGCGTAGAATGTATAATGTGATTTTTTTTCAGCCTTCAAACCCTGCAGAGTATCAGAATTTCTATACATTGATATTAGCATTTGATTTCGTGACTCATGATACATTGCAGGAGATTCTTCTAAACAATGGATGCCCTGATAGAATTGTAAATATGGTCTGATAGTTTCCTGTTGACATGATGGCCCGATTAACAGATCTAGCAGGCCTTTAGGATTAACAGATTAGTGTCATGTATCATTGCCATTTATATGGTAACAGTGTTTAGTATTAAGCACTAAAGTGTTCTTGTCCCAGTGCTGCTGAAAATACATTTATTCTGGTACTGCTCAAGGTATTTCAGAATGGTGATAGGCGCACGTACATCAACTAATGTGTAGGTAGTGGTATCCTCAACTTTCCAAGGGTGCATACAAAAATAATAGTAATGCAGATCACTGCTAATTTTTGCCAATAATTTTGCAGTATTTGCTGACATAATAACCACTTATTAAATAGCCCTTTTAACACAGTAAAGCAAGCCAAGGCACTTTAGAGGAGTGTTATCATAAGATGTGGCACCAAACTTCATTTAGAAATGTTCAGAAAGGTGAGCAAAAGCTTGGTTACAGGAGTATTTTCAAAGGAGAGGGGAACGGGATTGATTGATTGATTGATTTATTTTATCGTCAAATGGACTGAAATACAGAGATAGCGAGAACTGCCAATGCTGGAGAATCTGAGATAACAAGGTGTACAGCTGGATGAACACAGCAGGCCGAGCAGCATCAGAACATGGAACATAGGACATAGAATAGTATAGCACAGTACAGGCCCTTCAGCCCACGATGTTGTGCCGAACTTTTACCCTAATCCTAAGGTCTACCTAACCTCCACCCCTACCTTATACTATCATCCATATGCCTATCTAGTAGCCGCTTAAATGCCCCTAATGAGGCTGATCAATATTGGGAACACACAAGTGCCGGAATTAGAGAAACAAAGAGATTTTATAGTGTTGTAATAAAGAAGTAGCTTGCAGACATAAGTTGGGGCATGGCCATGGAGACACTTGAACACATTGCTAAGATTTTAAAAACTGAAGTATTGTCAACAATCACATATTCAGCTGTTATCCAACTGCTTTGCTCAGGTGGCACAGTATTTTAGACTTACAATCAACTTAAAAAACACTGAAGTCATGGTCCAAACTACACCTGCTCCCTCAGACACATTCTCTCTGATTACAGTTAATAATCCACCACTTAAGACTACAAGTACATTTTGCCATCATGGTAAATGTTCTCTCACAAAACATCACAATCAATATCAACATCACACAATGGATTGGAAAGACCTGCTCTGCCTTTGTGAAGCCTATGCAAATGATCCAGCAGAAAAAATGAGATGGTCTGCCAGAAGTGTTATTATAACCCGATTACACTTAGCACCTTCTAAATTGATGATAAGGCTGCATCTGCCCTTGTTGACACATCCGGAAACTTAAACATTCTCACTTGTACTGTCTATAACATACTACTGGTATTGAGTGGAAAGACAAGATGTCTTACACTAATGTCCTCAAGTCTTTAGTGTAACTGTTATTCAAAACACAATCCAGTTGCATTTGTCAGAACACATTGTTCACATGGGCGATTATAGAATTTCCTGAGTAACTTCCCAAGCTAGCTGGAGTACAAATACCACAAGAGACATGGGGCAGAAAAATACTACAACATTAACACCCGTACCCTAAAAGGTACAGCCATGGATACAAAAACTGTAGCTGTCTACTAGGCCAGTTTGAATAACTTAGCAATTAATTTTCCTGTAACAAAATCAAAGTGCTGGAGAAAAACAGCAAATTTGGCATTTCTGCTTTTAGCTGAGTGAACAAATCATTTTCCTGGTTCACATGGCTTTCAGTGTGATATGCATCCTGGGGCAGGCTTTTCTCTCATCAGTATATCCATAATAACTGAGACCACATTAAATATAGAAATCTGTCCAAAGCAACATGGGCAAACATCCAAGTCCAGAGTGATTAGATGCAGGTTGCAGGAACCAAAGCCAAGGCTCATCAAAATAAAACAAAGAACTGTGGATGCTGGAAATCTGAAACAAAAAATATAAACTGATGGAGAAACTTTGCAGATCTAGCAGCATATGAGGAGAAAAAAATACAATAAGCATTTAAACTGCAGTGAGCTTCTATTGGACTAAGTCAGGGTCACTGGACTCAAGATGTGAACTCTATTTTCTCTCCAGATATGCTGCCAAACCTGTTGAGTCTCTCCAGCATTTCCTGTTTTTGCTAAGGCTCATTGATCTATAGAGGGGAGTTGCTGGAAGTTAACAAACTATGGAGCCAACCTGCACAAAATTCAAGTAGCCTCCAGGTGCTTGTCTAGACAAAACTCCCTAATCCACCAAAACATTAGTCTGCAAGTCTGACTGGATCTGAGTTGGAACAATTCTAACCCAGTAATGGATATACCTCCCCAGGCCCTAGTGAGCCACCGTGATTTGTTGATTATCAACATTTCACTGGGCCACTCTGGTCCTGTTTGGGAAATATTAGGATACTGAGACAGCCACAGAAGTTAACTTGGTTCCAGGCTTCTCTAGTCAAATATGTTGGGAGAAACCATCTGACCCCAGACATATTCCACCCACCAGCTCAATCCACCTTGATGCTTAAATGCAATGGTATATAATCAGATTATTAATGAGCAATTGCTTAAACTAATACCTCAGATGAACGGCTTTAGCAAAACGAATGCTCACTGTTAGATTAATCCTCCTGCAGAGTTATCAGTGACAGACACATCAAGCTGTGGCCATGAAAACTTTACAATAATCCATTTGCAGCTTGCTCCTGAATCTCTCAAGTGAGTCAGAAAAACTGAAATGTAAAATGAATTTCCTGAAAATAAAGAACATGAAAGGACAAGAATAGACTAACAGTACTGTTGTAATAAATCACTGGTACGAAGCAGTCTCATATCAAAACTATAGTTGTACAGTATTTGTACAGTCTGGAAATAATTCACTTCTGTATGATAGAAATTTATTACAATGCAAGACCAAGCTTAACAAATGTGCCAAATGAAACATTGGACTTCCTACTTTATGTGTTTACCTAGAAGTGGCTGAAATTCTGAGATGACATAGAACACTGTCATCAACGTGACAAACTTCCATGTTTTTAAAATCAGCTGCACTGATTCACTGATGGCACCTGACAAAGAGTTGCGGGTGTGTATTTAAACAGACACACACAGAACTCTCTCCTGAACAGCAGAATTCCAGTGGCACTCAGGTAATGTCAATGGAATGGTGTCAGAATAAAACTCAAACTATTCAGACTGGTGGATGCACTATGACACAAGCCAAGTCCATTATTGTATATTGCAAACTATACTTCAGTATGAAAACACAATTCAATTGACTCCAAACAAAATAAGTAAATAGAAGGACACCTACATTTTATATGCCAACTAAAATTAATTTGTGAATCAGTCTCGTGTTATTGAAATATAATTTAAAAGAAATCTACAGCATAATTACTGTCAAGGTCAGACAGATAATGCTAATGAAGTGGAGCATGGGAAATTCCTTCAATACTTTCCTCCGCTTCAGTTTTTTTTAAGCATGAGTGACATTTCCAGTCTTATTAAATTGAAATGATGTGTTAATAAAAAGGACCAAGTACAACATACTTGTTTAAAGCACGTGCATTGAGAGATAGTGAAATCCAGCCTCTACCAAAAAAAGTGAGGGTCAACCTACGGAAGCCTTCTTATTGAAATACGTCCTCAATGACTTTTAGTGTCAAACGAATGCCAAAATGATTAGGTCTAACGTGACAACAGCAGCTTTATTTGCCACCTTGTGACCTAGATATCTCAATACAGACTCCGAATGCTGGCTACAGCTTACTCGGAGCAGTTCATACTAAAACCTATTCACACCGCCTTCAGGTTCATGCCGACACCCCTAATAAAACATATTTCAATTAAAAAAATACAATCACATTAAGTCCAATGGTTGTATTTAGAGGCCCTACAGCGATCTTAGGAAGAAAAACATTGCTTTGGTCACTAACGCAACGAGCTGACAGGAGCACTCAACACACACCCCACCCTGCTTTGTAAGGCAAAATCAAAGCCGAACACAAAAACAAATCTGACGCTTGAAATAAAAGACAGCGAATTACCACTGAGATAATTGGTCCATTTATAAAGCATCCCTTCCATGGTAAGTGTACAGATCCCCTGCCACTCACTTGTTAGCTAACTCACTCACAATGCCATTCCCACTCCATTGAAACACTCGGCAACAATTCAGAACAGCCGAACGCAACCCGGAACAGACCGGTGTGTGAGGGGGTGGGGTCGCGTGACGCGAACTGATTGGCAGCTCAATGGACCACTCGCCAGAGGACCCTGCCTCAACTGGTAGGTGATCCGGACGAACATCCAGTCAACGGCGGGCAGCGGCCGTCTCGTCCCTCCGCCCTGCACCAATCAGCGCTGGGTAGGTGGGCGGGGATAATTGTTGCGTCCACGCGCTACCGAACGCGCTGGGAGCGTGCGGATTCCTTTGTGACGTCAGCGATGGATATGAGAGTTGAGCGGTGAGAGTTGCCACGTCTACATGGGTTTCGGACTGAGCACGACGGGGCGGGAGGGAAGAAAGGGGAAGATAACGGGGGTAATTAAAGATAGGGCATATACTCCGTGAAAAGTGGGAGAAAAGACTTTTTGCATGCTATGTTGCCCACGGGTCTACACGTTTCTCACGCATTCATTTTCACCTTCGTGCTGGGTTCTGCCAGCAGTGCTCTGATTCCAGAGCCCGATGTGAAAATCGACGTGCTGCAAAAGCCTTTCCTCTGTCACCGAAAGACCAAACTAGGTGACCAGTTACTGATCCATTACGCTGGATTTTTTGAGAATGGCACCATGTTTTACTCCAGGTAAGTCTTCGAGGTTCAAGGCTAACTAGGTATTTCCGAGTTGCCTGATGAGCAAAGCAAGAGTGAGTCGAATTATAACGGTGAAGTAAAAACTTTGCCTATACTATGCCTTTTACAATCTGGGGATATCCAAAGGCAATTAACTCGTGCTCAGCAACATCCAACAAACAACAATGACGTACACAGCCAGGTAATATACTTTAGCTTTCGGCTGAAGCATGAATGTGCGGTTAGGAGACGAGGAAAACCCCTCCATTCTTAGAATGAGATAGTAAGAACTGCCGATGCTGGAGTCAGAGATAAGTGTGCAGCTGGAGGAATGCAGCAGGCCAGACAGCATCAGAGGATCAGGAAAGTTGACGTTTCGGGTCGGGACCCTTTTTTCCCCTGAAGACGACTGGAGACTCTGCCGTGACACCACTGAATTATAATAAGTGGTGTGCAACAATGTTGCACTTTTCACATTGTTTTCCAGTCAGCCCACGTCTGAAACGATTATTCCTGACTGCAAGTAACGTGGAAATACCCTCCGTTAAGCCATTTAAAACATTGTTTAAAGTTTAACTGGCAGCAACATAACTCCAGAAACTTTAATTACCAAATTTTGAAATTGCTAGGCAGCCCAGGTGTAGTGTTTTACTTGTATGCAGTTAATGGGCACTAATTGGGGATTAATGCTGCTATAAATGGAGTATTTAACTAACTTTTTTTTCAGTTGAATTTGAATTCTAGGTTATCACTGGAAACAGTGGGATTTATTGCCACAGATTTGTACTCCAGACGTGTGCACCTAAGATATTCCAGTACAATGTGGTCAATTGCCCAGTAATGTCCTGGCCACAAAAGGCTGGACTACTCCAAACCTGACAATTACACTTTATCAGTCTAAGTGATCACAGTGGTTGTTGAAAGTGCTATCTGAGCAACACCTGCTTCTCAATGATCTGCCCACTGAGTTTGGGTTCTACCAGGGCTGCTCAGCTGTTGACCTTTATTACAGTTTCTGTCTAAATGTGGAAAAACAGTGCAGAAAACTAGAGATGATGGAAGAGTAATTGTTCTTGACATCAAGATAGCATTTGGCCAAATGCTAGTGTCAAGGAGCCTGATTAAAAGTTGACCCATTGATAATCAGGAGGTGTCCACTGGTTGGAGTCATAGTCAGCACAGAGGAATATGGTTGTGATTGTTGGAGGTTAGTCTTCTCAGTTCCAGGACATCTCGGTAGGAATTCCTCGGGTATATATCTCCTAATCAATCTGTTCAGAGATGTTATATACACCTCTACAGCAGGTGGAACTTGAACCCAAATCATAATCATTACAGTATGGAAACAGACTCTTTGGTCCAATCACTCCATGCCCATCATAATCCCAAAGTAAACTAGTCCCACCTGCTTGCACTTGGCCCATATCCCTCCAACCCTTTCTTACTCATGTACTTATCCAAATGTATTTTAACCATTGTAACTATATCTGCATCCACAACTTCCTCCAGAAGGTCATTCCACGCATGAACCACTGTTTCTTTTAAAAAAAAAAACAAAGTTGCCCCTCCTTTCCTGGTTGAGTCTTTCTCCTCTCACTAAAAATATGTCCCCATAATCTTGAAATCCCCCACCACAGGGGAAAAGACCCTGCTTAAAGGCAGGGACACTACCACTATACCACAACAGCCTTTGAGTTGCTCAAGGTAGTGTCCTATGCTTCGCCTGCTTCAACAATGACTTTACCAGCATCGTAAGTTCAGAAGAGGGGATATTCACTGATGTTTGCACAGTGTTCAGTATCATTTGTGACTCCTTGGATATGAAAGTAGTCTGTGTTCATATACAGCATAACCTTGACAACGTTCAGGCTTTTGCTGTTAAGTGACGAGTACCATGCACACCACACAAGTGGCAGGCAATGACCATCTCCAACAAGAACAAAATCTTGCTATCACTGAATTCCCCGTTATCAATGTCCTGCAGGTTGCCATTGATATTGAACTGGGCTGACCATATAAATACAATGAAAACAAAAGGAAGTCAGATACCAGGATTTCTATGGCCAGTTACTCATTTCCTGGCCCCTCAATGCCTTCCACCTTTTACAAGCCACCAATCAGGAGTATGATGGAAAACTCTCCATTTCCTGGATAAGTGCAGCTCCAACAACACTGAAGAAACTTGACACCAGGACAAAGCAGCCATTGGCCCTCCAAACTATAAACCACCCTGACTTGGAAATGTATTGCTGTTCCTTCAATGTCGCTGCATCAAAATCCTGAATCCCCTTTCCTAACATCTCTCTGGTTGAAGAAGTCAACTCACTGTCACCTCCAGGGCAATTGAGAATGGGCAATAAATGCCAACATCCAATGATCAAATAATAAAACAAAAGGCCCTTCTAGCCTTAAATAACTTGTAGAACAATATGTACGAAAAGTAATCAAAAAAAGCTTGGGGATTATTAGCTGTTATTTTAAGGGGGCTGAGTTACAAAGTGGAAGTAGTTATGCTTCATTTATATAGAGCATTTCTCCATCCAAAATACTATGGTCAGTGTTAGGCATTGCACCTCTGAAATGAAATGTTGGCTTTTGAGATGCTGTCACGCAAGTTCCCCAATGATACTGGGGCACAGAGGTTAGATTACAGTGACAGTTTATAGAAACTTGGCTTGAATAAAGATGATTAAGCAGTGATCTGATCGCAGTCTTTAAAATGTCAGAAGGATCTAATAAGATAGTTCCAGAAAAACTCTTTCCCCTAATGGAGGAATCACAAACAAGGGGGCATAACATAAAACGAGAGCTAACAGATTTAGGAGGGAAATTCTGTATGATTGTGACAAGAATAAACTTTCCCTCCTCATCCTTGACCTGTCTGTGCTTTTGCTGTGGATGACTGCATTACCCTTCTCCAGTACTGCTCCAATATTGTCCAACTGGATAGTGCCTGTCTTGTTCTATTTTTGCTTATCAAATTGTATTGTTTGAAGGAGCTTCTCTTTCCACTTCACAGTTAGCCTTCAATGTCCCCAAAAGATCTATCCTTTGTTCCCTCCTAGTTCTCATCCAAATTATGTCCCTCAATAAGATTATTGGAAAATGTAGCATTAATTATCCCTCAAAAGTTGACGACACCTGCTCTATTTCATTACCATCTGTCTTGACTCCTCCATTTTTATTAACTTGTCAGACTGCTTATCTGGTATCCAATACTGTGTGAGGAAAAATGCCCTTCAATTTAAATATTAATATCATTGAAGTAAGTCACTGCTCCAAACTCTGTTCCCTCGATACTGACTCCATCCATATCAGACTAAACCATGATATTCGCAACATGAATCATTTTTAATGAACTTTCAGCCACATATCCATACCATCACCAAGGTCACTTATCTCTGCCTCTAACAAATGACTTTTTCCCCCTGCCTTAACTTGTCTATTGCTGAAACTATCAATCACACCTTTGCTGCCTTTAAACTTCACTTTTAAAAGCATTCTAGACTGGTCTCCAACATTCTATCTTTTATTCACTTGACCTCCAAAACACTGGTGCCCATGTCCTTACTTGCATCATGCCCAATTTATCTATCACCCCATTTTCGCTGACCCGCATCATTTTTAAAATTCTCATCATACTAAAATCTTATCGTTGCTTCTTCCTATGTAATTTCCTCCAACCCCACAGCCTTTGAGGTATTTGTGCTCATCTAATTCTGCCCTCTTGAGCATTCCTGATTTTAATTGCTGTACCATTTGTAGCTGAAGTCACAGTCACCAAACTCTGGAATTCCTTCCCCAAATGCTAGCTCTCTTTATTCCTGTTAAGATGCTCCTTAAAACCAACCTCTTTGACCACATTTTTGGTAGTCCTAATATTGCCTTGTATGATTCGGTGTTTAATTTTGATTGAGAGTCCTCCTGTGAAGTGCCTTTAGATAGAGCCATGCAAACATAGGAAAGTTACTACAGAGAGGCGATTCAGCCCAATATTTTCTACAGCTAAGTAAACTAGCCACCCAGTCTAATCCCAAATTCCAGCTTCTGCCCTGTAGCCTTACAGGTTACTGTGCTTCAGGTGGAGATCAATGTTCATTTTAAATAAGTTGATGGTTTATGCCTCCACCAAACCAGGCAGCAAATTCCAGACACCCACCACCCTCTGGTTGCAAATGTTTTTCCTTGTGTCCCCTCTAATCCTTATCCCGATCACCTTAAATCTGCACCCCTGGTACCTGACCTGTCTGCTAGGGGAACACGGCATTTCTCTGTCCAATTTATCCAAGTATCTCATTATTTTGTACGACTCAATTAAAACCTCAGCCTGTTTCGTTCTTAAGAAAATAACCATAGCCTATCCAGTCTTTCCTCGTAGCTACAGTTTTCATGGTCTGGCAACATTCTCATAAATCTTCTCTGTACTCTGTCTAGAAAGCTTTCATCCTTTCTGTAATGTGGTCACCATGATTGCACACAGACTCCAGTTATGCCCTAACTTGTGTCTTCTATAGTTACAGCATTACATTCCTGTTTTTAATATTCAATGCCTCATCCAATGAAGGAAAACATCAGATAATCCTTCTTTACAACTTTATCTACATGTCCTGCCAACTTCTGTGACCTGTTGTCAGGCATTCCATGGTGTCTCACTTCCTCTGGTCCACTCAACATCCTCAAATTTATTGTGTGTTCCCTTGCTTTAATGCATAACCTCACATTTCTCTTAATTGAATTCTATTTGCCATTTATTCGCCCATTCAGCCAAACCGTTGATACCTTCCTGCAGTCAACAGCCATTCTCCTCACCATCAACAACACGACTCACTTTTGTGTCATGTGCAAATTTTCCGATCATGGCACCCTATCTGTGTCTAAATCACTATTATATATCTCAACCTGCGAGGCACCTGAACTGTGGAAGACTACTAGAAACTACTTTCCATTTGCATAAACATCTGTCAACCATTACCTGTTGTTTTTTTTTATTCCCTTCTCTATCCCATGGGCTTAATTTTTTCTGTCCAGTCAGCCATTTGGACCTTGTCAAATGCCCTACCAGTATGAATATAGGCAACATCCTCTGCATGATCCTTATCAATCTTCCTTGTTACTTCCTCAAAAATTCAAATGAGTTAGTAAGAAGTAACCTTCCCACAACAAAACCATGTTAACCATCCCTGATTACTGCTTTTCTAAGTAACAATTAATCCTCCTCCTCAGTATTAATTCTAATAACTTGCCTTCCACTGGTGTCAGATAAATCAGTCTGTAATTATTTCGCCAATCCCTCTTGTCCTGTTGGAATAATGGCATGACATTTGCAAACCTCCAATCCTCTAGTACCTTGTCTGTATCTAGTGAGGATTGGAAAATGATTCTCAGTGCATCCACTGTTTCTTCCCTGGATTCCTTTAGCAGTCTAGACAGGTGATTCATTCACATTCCAAGGAAATCAGTCCACAGCATCACCATTTTCCATCTTTGTAACCAAAAACTTTGTTTCCCGAACTTTTAATTACACTCTGTCAAGTACCTTGGAACGTCTTAGTTTTATTAAAAAGGTAGTGATCTAATGCACGTAACAAAGTGTGGTGCAATTTCATTTTTTGTATATTTCTTTGTGGTGCATTCATACTTTTGTAACAAAAGAATGATGAAGGACCTACTTTTATTGAATAAAAATCAGAAGAACTGTGGATGCTGGAAATCAAAAACAACAACAGAAATTGCTGGAGAAGTTCAGCAGGTCTAGCAGCACATGTGGAGAGAAATCAGAGTTAACTTTTTGGGTCGAGTGACCCTTCCTCAGACCGTCCTATGGATGGTCTGAGGAAGGATCAGTAGACCTGAAATGTTCACTCTGATTTCTGTCCACAGATACTGCCAGACCTGCTGAGCTTGTTCAGAAATTTGTTTTTGTTTGTGACCTACTTGAATCTCTGGCTCAAATTTTGATTCTGAAACTATTTTATTACATTTCAGTCACAAGAGCAACAATGGCCAGGCGGTTTGGTTTACACTTGGGATCAAAGAATCCCTTCTAGGCTGGGACAGAGGTTTACGTGAGATGTGTGCAGGAGAGAAGAGGAAGCTAGTCATTCCCCCAGCCCTTGCATTTGGAAAAGAAGGAAGAGGTATTGCACCCAGGTTTAACTACATGAAGTGTTTGATCACATTTAATCCATGAAATATGATTTGGTAACATTTACCTTTTATTTCTGCTGCTCATACTTAAAACTTTTTTTTTTCTGTATACTTAACCACCAGCTTAGGAATTATTTCACAAAATTTGTATGATTCTGGATCAGATATGATGAGTTATACCAGACACTGAGATAATTGCACTATTAGAGCATTTATAGTAATACAGATATAGCAATTTTTGGAAAATTCTGAATGCTCAAACCTTTTCTAGTTATCTTTCAATGTACGCAAGTTTATTCTGCCTAAAAATTTTGGTGTTTTAGTGCTTTGTTTAATATGCTGTATATTGACCAGTCTCCCATCCAACCAGTTTATTTTGGCTACAATTCAAGAAATTAATAAAAGCACAGCAGTTGGAATGGGTTAGATAATTTGCAGGGTACAAGAAGTGAAAAAGCATGAAAGTTCTGTAGTCCCAGGCACATGTCAAGTATAAAAAGGCAAGTCTCGGACTACTCAGGATTCATGCAATTGCTTTGAGTTGTTAACCATGTGGAGACCAATAACCCTTAAGAAGGGATATGAATTTCCAGTGACCAGAGCAAAGGATCACAATATTTCACACTAAGACATTTAGTGTAACAAAAATGAAAATCAACATTGAAACGTTATTTAATAGACAACTAATATGTCAAACAAATACTGTTATAAGCTCAATAAGATTCAATAAAGTAAATCTCTCACTGCATTTGTACATTTTCAGGAGCAATGGAGTCTGATATATAAAGGTCGCATTCCTTCTGATTTCAACAGAATCTAGTCCCTCTGTTCATGATCTTTTTGAAGCAGTTCTTTTATTTAATCTTTTTCTGAGAAAAACAAAATGGATTGAAATAGTAAGGTAGCCTCTAGCAACTCCTTGGTCTTTAAATCTTCTCCCTTCCAACAGAAAATTTGTCCTCATCAACAAACTGCTTGGTGATAAACAGAAAATGGTCATTTACCTGTGCCTCACATTACAGGTGTTCGTCTCCAAATTTCTGATAGTCTATGCACAGCAAAACCAGCTGCTATCTCCTTTGTACAGATGTTAAAACTTGCACCTTACTTTCAATAGGTTTTGGCCTCAGCCTCCATTTCTAAGAAAACAGGTCAAATGGGCTTGGCTCCAGGCAGCTTTCATAGATGGTCACATCTCCCATTCCAAGAATTCTGCCTCACTTTTAATTTGAAGAGGCTGTTTAAAACACAAACATCTTAAAATCATACTGTTGTAAGATTTGATGTAACCAAGATTACATGGTACACATATATTCTTTAGGAGAGCTTTTCGGTAGGTTTGAGCTAATTGCTTTTAGTACAGATTATTTATGCAAGGTACAAAACCAGATGTTATTTAATATTACAAGCAAAATATCCTGCATCAATTTTTTCACCTTTGTCAACTAATGTACTAAATAATTCTAACATGAAAATGGTTAAAGATTTATGATTAAATTACTAACCATTCCATGCTCTCTCTGTTTGATTAACAGCTAACATGGTCATGCATACTCAGTGCATGTTCTTGAATTGAAGTCTTCGTTACCCAGTGACTTTTGCATGCTGTTGTCATTTATACTTTCTGGTAAGGTTGGCTATAAGTGAGCAAAAAGGATACCACAAATGAAATCATTCAACCTAACATAATTGTGCATCATCATTTTATGCCACATAGAAATAAAGCATGCATGATCTTCCTCCAGAGTATATGTGTGATTATAGTACTACTCTGAATCCTTAGTCTGATTGAAACTCCTATCAAGCCTTTAGCATCAGCAGCTGAGAACCACATAATATCTAAATGTCAGTATATGTTAAGGCTGTTGAGAATGGTTGAACATTGAATGTTGGATGACAAAATCGTTAGCTTTAGCTGTAGCTGTGAAGCTTCCTGAGCTGTAATAGCTTGTCTGTACTCACTGGTGAGGATCATGCCAAACACAGCAACTTGAAAGAGGTACACCAGGGCCCAGAAAGGATTCAATAGCCCCAAAGATTAGTGTGGTTACATTCTGTTACTGAGGTTTGTGATTGATATCACCAGCAGGTGTCTGGTTACTGGGCCCGTCCTGGATACCCACATGTGAGAAGACTCTGTAACACATGACAATGGTTACCTCCTGTGAGGGTAGTTACCAGCTACTCCCCCCGGTCCTACCATACAAATCGAGTAGAAACAATAGAATACAAATCTCAATTCTTGGCTGTTTAGAGATTTTATTCATCAAATTATTCTGATTAGTTTTGGTACCGTTACCAGTGGACGTGGCTTGATAATACAATATCACCCCTAAATTCAGTGCTAATTTGAACATCTCACCCAGACTGAAAAACGATACAGCAGGTACTGTTGTGTGACGGGGCAGAGTTGAGGGAGCTGAACACCAGCTCCTATCAGGCCATACCTCTTGTGAGTTGTCAGTTCACCTTGCCTGAAATCTGAAGTGTTCATTTTCTACAGAACTCCTATAAACAGTTTAAAAAGTAAACAGGATTAATCATTTAGTTGTATATAGTATAACAGTTACTATAAAAATATATGCCCACATTTTAGCTTGTCTCCAGGTATGTTTTGATATCTTTGTCAATTACATGACAAGTAAATCAAGGTTACAAGACAGTAAGTTGATATTCCTGACTAACAGACCTTTGCTTGGCAAAAGTGGGAGCGATAACTTCAGGAAAATTCTGTGATGTCATTATGTTCTTTTAATCTTGAGCGCAAGTATTCTGTTTCACAACTAAAATAAATTTTTTATATAGGAAAAATTCCACCTGAAAGCACCTTGATATTTGAAGTTGAACTTCTTGAGATCAGAAATGGACCACGGTCACATGACTCTTTCCAGGCAATGGACCTCGATGATGACTGGAAATTGTCCAGACATGAAGTAAGACTAATCTTTTATTTATAAATATTTTCTAATATTCGGATGAAAATCTAGCCCAAAAAAGTCTGAAACTAGGAGGAGCAATGCAACAATAAAAAATGTACAGAATGCAGGTGGAAAGTGATCAAGAAAGAGTCCAGACTTATAAAATTAAATTAAAGAGAGACTTATAAAATTAAATTAAAGATCAAAAAGGTTGTTTGACAGAATTAAAATGTATCATGCCATTAAAATTTAATTACCTCCAAATTCACTAGCTTCAACTTTTACTTGTATATTTAGGTTACTGTCGGTTAGGACCACAAATTCAAATATTTCATATTTTACATTCAATTCATCAATGAGAACAATAAACTTTGCATGGTCAGGAAGGAGTGATCACATTAGAATGAGAGACAACCTGAGTGATTATATAGTTCGGGGAATCTTGAGGTAGAAGACAGGAAATTATAGTCTGATTAGCCTGAAGTCAACTGTTGGCCAGCTTTTGGTGTTCATTATTAAGGATGAGATTGCGGAGTACTTGGAAGTGCATGGTAAAATCGAGCTGAGACATCATGGCTTCATCAAGGGGAGGTCATGCTTGATAAATCTTTTAGAATTCTTTGAGGGTTAACAAGCAAGTTAAACAAAGGAGAGCCAGTGGATGTGATCTATGTAGATTTCCAGAAGGTACCCCACAGGGCTGCTAAGTAAGATAAGAGCCCATGGTGGTAGGGACAAGGATCACCTATCTGGCATGGACAGGAAGTTGGCTGACTGGCATAAGGCAGAGAGTGGGCATAAAGGTTTTTTTTTCCAGGATGACAGATGGTAACTAGTGGCGTTCCACAGGGGATTGTGTGGAGACCACAAGGATTCATGTTACACATTATTAATCTGGGGGAAATACAGGCTGTTACACTTTATGGTAAGAATAGAGGAGTAGACTATTTTCTAAGCTGGAAACGGCTTTGGAAATCTAAAGCACAAAGGGATTTGGGAGACCTAGTTCAGGATTTTCCTAAGGTTACTGTGCAGATTCAGTTGGCAATGTTAGCATTCATTTCCAGCAGTCTACAGCAGAGGTGCATTGCTGAGACTGTATCAGCTCTGGTCTGCATTTGGAATATTGTGAGCAGCTTTGGTCTCCTTTCCTAAGGAAGGATGTGCTGGTTGTGGAGGGGGGTGCCAGAGGAGGTTTACAAGAATGATCTCAGATGAAAGGCTTGTCATTATGAGCAGTGGTTAAGGACTCTGGGGCTGTATTGATGGAGTTTAGAAGAATGAAGGGGGATCTGATTGAAACTTACAGAATATTGAGAGGCCTGGATAGATTTGCCATGGAAAAGATGCTTCCATTATTAGGAGAGTCCAGGACCCAAGGGCACAGCCTGAGAGTGAAGGGACAAACCCTTAGTGAGATGAGGAGGAATTTCTTCAGCCAGAGGGTGGTTAATCAGCAGAACACATTGCCACAGAAAACTGTCGAGGCCAAGCCATCAAGTGTATTTAAGACTGAGGTAGTTTCTTGATTGGTAAGAGGATCGATGGTTGTAGGGAAAAGGCATGAAAATGGAGTTGAGAAACACATCAGCTTAAATCGAATGGCAAAACAGACTCAATGGGCCAAATTGCCTAATTCTGCTTGTGAATTTCATGGCTTTATTGTTGCAGTGAAGCTTGCGAAGAAGCAAGAAAAATCACAGCAACTCTTTGCATTCCAAGATGCATGTGCAGAAGCCACAAATTGTTGTTTGATCTACTCTAAAATTACAGTAAATGTTGGCAACTTCAATGTTTTTGGTATCACAAAATCCAGTTTACTGAGTTCCTTGCCTGTCATTTTTCATAACTGCGGTCTGCTTTTCCAATATCTTCCATCTGCCCTCACTTTACGCTCTTCAGATTGACTGACTCTTTTTATCCTCTTATTGGTTTTAGATCTGTCATACTCCTTGTCTATACAACTCATTGTTGTAGTTCCTGTGCTGTTGGTAAATAAGATTAAATTATGTAGGTTCAGTTTAGTTGAAAACTTTATTTAACAGCTCAGATTGCAACTTGGAGTTGCAGATAGCTACAAAGGCACCCTGGCTGTAGCATGTTTGTGCTGGTCTGCACTTGGTCATATGGCTTCATCCTGGTTTGTGGCTTATTAGTATATCCAGCTCTTAAAGTAAAAATTTCAATTTTTGTACTTATTGAATGCACTCCCTCCTTTCTTGCAGTACAATTTCTAATATTTATGTCAATATGCCTGCATATACCCTTACAATGAAAAATACTCTGGCTGGAAACAGTATTTGTAGTACCTTTTATGTAACGTTTTTTTTTCTTTCCAACCACCCCACCTCCCCCCGCCCCCCAACAACCCCAGATTTTTCCAGACTAGATTCTTTATTTTGCAAACTGAATTCACTGCATATTTTGGATTAAAAACATATTCTTCATACAATAATTTAACTATAAATAAACAATATTTAGTTCCTTTAAATTGTGCAAACTCTTGTAGGTGGAAAGATTTTGGCCATTTTTCAATGAAGTTTGCCTGTGAAACAGTTTTTTTTTTTTTGGTGAAATTATTGATTATTTTGAGAGAGTACAAAATGACTCCGTGCCTACATGATCACCTAAAATAAACAACTAGAAAATATTGTCCAGTCCAAAGTTTCAGGTGATAAATCACATCCTACCTTCAACTAGTTCCGATCACGCTTCAATAAAAACTGAAAGTGCTGGAGAAACTCAGGTGTGGCAATATCTCTAGAGGAACTGAGTTTGTATTGAGTCCAATATGACTGTTCTTCAGCAAAGGCCATGTTTTCACTTGCACCGCACAGCTACTAAAGTAGATTGGTATCATTAACAGATCCCTTATTGCACCAGCTGCCCACAATTGTATTAAAAATAAGTAGGTTTCCTCTGATCAACAACTTAAGTGTTAATAAGTTAAATCGTCAGTGGGCATACCATGATCACTTCACGTCTGCCCACATACAGTACATATGCACATTCATAATTGTCCAACAGAAATATTTCAAACATAATTTGATAAGCACATGCCTATTGGGTAAGCTGTTCCACTAAATAAAGCTTTTGTATGTAGATGTTTAGCATTTTGTAATATATAAAACACTTTTTCAATTTATGTATATCAATTACAAATATATTTTAATTTTAGTCACTTGATAAACAGAATTTAAATATTGCTGGAAAAAGTCTTTATCTTGCACTCATCATGGCAGAACTGAGTAAAGGGGAGGTGATGGCCTAGTGGTATTATTGCTGGACTGTTAATCCAGTGACCCAGATAACATTCTGGGGACCCAGGTTCAAATCCCACCATGGTAGATGGTGGAATTTGAATTCAATAAATATCTGGAATTAAGAATCTAATGATGACCATGAATTCATTACCAATTGTCAGGAAAACCCCATCTAGTTCACTGATGTCCTTTAGGGAAGGAAACTGCCATCTTTGCCTGGTCTGGCCTACATGTGACTACAGACCCTGGTTGACTCTGAACTGCCCTGTGGGCAATTAGGGATGGGCAATAAATGCTGCCTGGTCAGCAATGCCTTCATCCCGTTGATGAATAAAGGAAAAAAAAAAAAAAAAAAATTCTTGCATTTGTGACCTGATGGGTGTTGATGAAATTCTTTGATAGTGTTTTTTAAGCAATATTTTAATTTTGTTTAATAATGCCATTTCCATCTCTCCAGAATTACTCAGATTTTTTTAAAGTTGCAATCTCTAAAATGTAGAAATTTTATATGCTTTTGAATGTTTCTTCCTGCTAAATTTAATCCTGAATTATCTTTATAAATTAGGTGAAAGAGTATCTCCGTAGAGAATTTGACAAATATAGAGTTGCACAAAATGACACGCAACAGGACTCAATGGTCAACGACATCTTTAAGAATGAAGATGAAGACGAAGATGGATACATTTCTGCTAGAGAATTTACATATAAACATGATGAGCTATAAGTTAATAGTTCTGTCCCTTCTACATATTTGGATATTACATTTGTGATTTCAAGTGTTTGTCTTTCATAGGAACAAAAATAACTCGACTGTAAAATAAGCCTGATAAGCAAAAAACTTTTAAAAAAGAATTGTTTTAAAATTTAATCTGATACGTTCTATAAGAGGAATGGATAAATTTGGATGGGATGTTTACCTCCTATTTTGGATATTTTATACAATAATATTGACATTCACTCAGTAAGTGCAGGCATTTCTGTGGGAATTAACATCAATCATAATTACATGACCATCATCTTGATACTTTTGAGGAATCTCAAGCCCACTACTGGTTCTTAATATTAATTTTGAAAGGGGTTACTGTCCTGCTCAATTTGCAAAGCTAAATTGTTATTCTTTGCACCCTACTACATTTGTGGTATCAAGGAGGGTGTTAGGTGACAAAATGTTAAGCCAATCTGCGCCTTATCAATGAGCCACACACTCTTTAATTCTTTTGTCACTGAATTTTCTTTATGTAAAAATACTGCCAGAGTGTATTTAAGCATATGCTAGGAAGACTTGTTGTCGCAGTACAAAATGTGACAACTATCCTATTATTGATTTTTGCCTTTTACCACCCCTACCTGCCATAACAACAAACTTCAATTAGATGCCATTAATTGGAATAACCTTGTCTTTCTTATTTATGAATGTTATTTATTATTGCTCATGTTAAACTGTAGCCAAGATAATTACAGATGGAGCAAGATCATTCTGCTAACTTAATTCATCCACCTGCAGATCCTCCATTTCACCAAGCATCACATTCCAATTTCTTCTTGGGTACCAGAGTTTTTGGCGCAACTATTCTGCCTGACATCTGTTCCACATGTTCACTTTATGTAAATGACTTGTCAGTTTCCTAAACTCATTAGGTTGAATCCTTGTCTGACATTGTCAATTTAATGTAATATTTATTTTTAAATGTTTCCTTTCCATGCTGAAGACCTTAAGTTTCTCTTGTCTTTCCTCATAACTTCAGACCTTTAGCATCAGCCTTCTAACCATTTTCTGCTCTGCCTTAAGCACTTGAATGTCTTTGATTTGTTTCACCAACTTGATCATATGCCATGCTGAAAATGTGGCCTGACCAGAGTACTACATTGTTTGGCTATATTTCTTTCTGACTTGTAATTTCTGTATAGTTCCATGTTTTACTGGCCTTGTTGAATTATGCTCTGTGTTTGTATCTGTTGCATGTCAAGTCTATAAGCCTTCCCCCTTGGCTATTTTAAAAATTCACAAATTATGGTATAGATTTCTACTGCTAAAGACAAAAACTCTACTTTGATTTTCTGAATAATTAGAAAAACATGTAACATTAAATTGTACCCACAGACCTTTAGAATTGTCATTCTGATATGCTCAATATAGGAAAGTAAAAGTAGAAAACATTTTCCCTTTTCAAAATTAATAGACGTGATTAGTTATGTTGCAAGTGTGGTTTTAAATTCTGTCTGAATTGAACACTTTTAAAAGTAGGCACTGTTTACACTGTGTATTACTTGAACTTGCCTGGAAATGGAGAACAAAGTGGAATTCAGTACTGGATCAGCGACATATCTGCATCAAGGGAATAGGGCCAACACACAGATTTTACATGAAGTGTTCTTCTCATCTTGGCACTTGAGGGATTGCTGATAATCTGCTCAATGAAAGCTCAACTCACACTTGTCAATGAGTAATAATTAACTGGTGAATGTTCTCCTTGTGAAGGAGGAGCTCTCAAATAAAGTTGACTCCAAGTGATAGAATCAACAGTAGGAATTTGATTTTTTAGAGCAGTGTTACTAATCCAATACTTGATCAAGGAAACTTCACAGTATTCTAGAATGCTATTGGTAATTGATCAGCCAGTCATACTCACTGGCCCTAGGAATATGAGACCTGGAACACTTCTCAATTGACTCCAGATTGTTCAGTAGGTTGAACCCTGTAAACAGAAATTCTATTCGTGTGGATTTCTCAGAAATTGCATTTGGTAATTCTTCATGATTGATGGGTAGGAGACAGGCAAAAAGTTATAAATGACAAGTTTTGGCAAATCCAGTGTTTTTTTTTCTAAACATTTGTAGGATATAGGTGTTGCTGGCTGCCCAGCATTTATTGCCCATCCCTAGTTGCCCTAGTGGTGATGCCTTTGTGGTACTTTATCATGAATGGTATCAAGCATTTTGAGTGTTGTTGGAGGTGCGTTCATCCGGGTAAGGTGGTGGTGAGTTGCCTTCTTGAACTGCTGCAGTCCTCCTAAAGTGGGTTGACCCACAATGCTATTAGGCAGGGAATTCCATGACTTTGACCCAGTGACCATGAAGGAACGGCAATATATTTCCAAGTCAGGATGGTGAAAGACTTGGAGGGGAACTTGGGGATGGTGGTATTCCCACATGTCTGCTGCCCTTGTCCTTCTAGATTGAAGTAGGTGTGGGTTTGGAAGGCACTCTCTGAGGATTTTTGGTGAATTTCTACATTGCATCTTGCAGATAGTACGTACTAATGCTATTGAGAGTCGGTGCTGCAGGGAGTGGATGCTTGTGGATGTAGTGCCAATCAAGTGGGTTGCTTTGTCCTGGATGGTGTCAAGCTTCTTGAGTGGTGTTGGGGCTGCACTCATGCAGGCAAGTGGGGAGTATTCCATCACACTCCTGACTTGTGCCTTGTAGATGGCGGATAGGCTTTGAGGAGTCTGGAGGTGAGTTACTCACGACAGTATTCCTAGATTCTGGCCTGCTCTTGTAGCATCTATGTTAATGTGATAAGTCCAGTTGAGTTTCTGGTCAATGGTAACCCCCAGGCTGTTGATAGTGGGGGATTCAGTGATGGTAACACCATTGAATGTCAAGAGGTGGTGGTTAGATTGTGCAATCATTGGCGAACATCCCCACTTCAACCTTATGGTGGAGGGAAGGCCATTGACGAAGCAGCTGAAGATGGTTGGGCTGAGGAACTCCTGCAGCTGAGATAATTGACCTCCCACAACCACGACCATCTTCCTTTGTGTTAGGTATGACTCCAACCATTGGAGAGTTTCCCCTTGATACCCATTGATTCCAGTTTTGCTAGGGCTTCTTGATGCCACACTTGGTCGAATGCAGCCTTGATATCAAGGGCTGTCACTCTCGCCTCACCTCTGGAATTCAGCTCGTTTGAACCAAGGCTGTAATGAGGTCAGGAGCTGAGTGGCCCTGGCGGAACCCAAACTGGGCGTCACCGAGCAGGTTATTGCTGAGGAGATGCTGCTGAATAGCACTGTTAGTGACACCTTCCATCACTTTACTGATGATTGAGAGGAGACTGATGGGGCTGTAATTGGCCGGGTTGGATTTGTCCTGCTTTTTATGTACAGGACATACTTGGGCAATTTTCCACATTGTCAAGTAGATACCAGTGTTGTAACTGCATTGGAACAGCTTGGCTAAGGAAGTGGCAAGTTCTGGAGCACAAGTCTTCAGTATTATTGCTGGAATGTTGTCAGGGCCTGTAGCCTTTGCAGTATCCAGTGTCTCCAACTGTTTCTTGATGTCATGTGGAGTAAATCAATTTGGCCGAAGACTGGTATCTGTAATGTTGGGGACCACTGGAGGAGGCCGAGATGGATCATCCACTTGGCACTTCTGGCTGAAGATTGCTGCAAATGCTTCAGCCTTATCTTTTGCACTGATGCGCTGGGCTCTTCCATCATTGAGGATGGGGATATTTGTGGAGACGCCTCTTCAAGTTAAAATAGTTTTCACATGGTTGGGCTGAGGACACTACCCTGACAAACTCCTGTTGAGATGATTGACATCCAACAACCACAACCATCTTCCTTTATGTCAGGTATGACTCCAACCCGGTGGCTCAGTGGTTAGCACTGCTGCCTCTCAGCACCAGGGACCCTGGTTCAATTCCACCCTCCGGCAACTGTCTGTGTGGAGTTTGCACGTTCTCCCTGAATCTGCGTGGGTTTCCTCCGGGTGCTCCGGTTTCCTCCCACAGTCCAAAGATGTGTAGGCTAGATGGATTGGCTATACTAAATTGCCCGTAGTGTTCAGGGATGTGTAGATTAGATGGCTTATAGGGGGATGGGTCTGGGTGGGATTCTGTCTGGGTCGCTGTGGATTTGTTAGGGCGAAGGGCCTGTCCCTACACTGTAGGGATTCTATGGATGAGTTACAACTCCCTGAGGTCAGTGTCTGATAATAGTTCCCTCTTTAAGCTTGACCCAATAGCTTACTTCCTTGTAAGCAAAATGCAGGCTTCTTTCCATCCAACATGAGGAGACCGATGGACTGTCTGAAACAGGTTGCTGCAGACTGGAGGTCAAACAGCGATTGACTTTGAATCCCGGAATTGTAGATTGTTTTTGATTCATGTGTTCAGATATATTTTAATCCACATCTGGAGCAGGTGGTGCTTGAACCGAGGCCTATTGGCCCAGAGATAGGGACATAGCATGAGCATCTATAAGTTTAATTTCAAACTCCACCAGCTGCTGCTGTGGAATTTGAACCTATGTTCCCAGAGTATTAGCATAGACCTCTGGATTACTAGACCAGTGACATTATCACTTCCTCTCATTTTAATAATGGTTCTCAGCATAGGGCTCAATCCTATGATCTGGAGATTAAACGTTGCATTCTATCATGACCATATCCCAGAATAATATGATAAAGTAATTCAACATGATTTCAGCATGTGACAAAGGCATTTCAGGTGCTGAGGACCCTGGTTCAGGGGTATCAATTTTTGAATTCTTCTGGAAATATGAGCTTGCTTAATTCAGCATAGGAGCGCTGTATTTTTACAAAGTGGACCCACTGGTTGTACGCAATTTAGTTTTGCCTTTCAAAACTCCCAATGGCTCTGTATACATTTCTTTTGAGTGTTCCTGAATTGCTGATGGTATGTCTCTGGGACTAGTTCATATGCACTAAGGGTGTCAGATTTTATCTGTTTATAATTAAGGGACAATTCAGAAGTCAGCAAATGAAACTCTCAAGCTTTCCAGGTTAACTGACCCTGAATCATAAGGGCCCATGTTTCTTGTGACCACCATTGCTGTCCCATTTCCTTTACCACCACTTTCTCCAGAGGATTTAAGATTTGCAATAAATGCTGGCCTGGACAGCAATGCACATACCTCATGAATGAATTTAAAAGTCACAACTCCTTCAACAATATTCCACAAACAGAGCAGCCAAGATTTTATTTAATAACAGTGTAGTTTGAAAAGCTGATTGGCTTCCTCCATCTAATAATATGTTCAAATATGAGCTGACAGAAAGTTTCTGAAAAGAGCAATGAGATGACTGGCCAGTGAATGTATTTTGGGCAATGCTGATCAAGAGGCAAACATCCACCATTGTGGTTGGTTGATCCTTGACTTGGGAATGGCATGAACTCTGGATTTCAAGTTTCAGCTGAGCTTTCATGTGCATGAACAGGCCAATTGTCAACCCACAGATCTTTGGGCACCTGACAAGGACATTCCAAGACATTTGCAGTCATATCCTCATGCTGCCAATCCTGTTGAGTTTTCCCAGCAATGTCTGTTTCTGTGACTGATTTCCAGCATCCGTAATTCTTTGTTTCGTTTTTGTTCAGTGAAATACCACTATTCTTTTCACAGCATGATTTACCTCCCTTCCTGAAGCTAGTTGCAGCTGTTGCATTTGTGAAGTTAATGGGTTTACGTCCCTTCCAAAGCAGCAGTGTTGAGTAAATGGTTTGATTTGATGTGAGCAAAAGCCCACCAGTTTTGAAGTCCTGAGCTGGAAAACCATGAAGGCTGCAGGTTTATGTTGTTTTTCATCCATGTGATTGCTTGTGCAGATCTCCCATGTATTCTACCATATGCCATTGGAGAATAGCTTGAGAGTATCAGCTGCCAGTATGGATTCACAGTCGGGGGCACATTGACCACTTCTTTTTTGAATAGAGTCAGAGAATCTCTTATATCCATGGCAGAGGACCCTCAGGACTGAGGATTTTATCTTTGCATGAGACATTGGCTGGGATTGGCCTTGATGTAGGTAGCGGGAATTGGGAAAATTCTTGGCCTCGCCTACATGCCTCGGTGAAAATTATTGCAAAAACAGGATTTTCATTGTGGGGCAGTGCTGGATGCAGATTGCCAGCTGACCCGGGAAAGAAATCGCAAGCAGCCACATGGGCCTTCCTTTAATCCTATGAGATTTTGTCCAGGTTATAATAGAAACGCTAAGGCCCCTATTCACACCCTGTCACCTCTCACACACTTCTCAAGCCACCTCATGTCCTCACCACAGTGCAACTGCCCTCATGCATCCACTATTCACTATCTAGACAAAATGAACCCTATAATGATAACAGGAGGTGTAAAACAGCTTTTGAAAAGTCTTTCATTAATTTTTTTTTGCTCACTTTGGTAAACAAAATCGTTTAATTATAAGACAATAACTTTCACATTCATCCAGGCATTTCCCTATGTGATAAGCAGAATTCATAATTAGGTTTAGCTGGGAATCCAAACGTCCTGTTGAATGTGGGAGATTAGGGAGAGTTTCCTAATGATTACTGATGATTATGTCTGCAAGAAGTGTGGTTGAGATTCCTATCAGAGCACATCGATTGGTTGGAGCAGCGGTTAGAGGCAATGAGCAATTGGCAGGAGATGGGGCTGTGATGGATGGCAATATCAGGAAGGTAGAAAAACCGCAGTTACAATCAGGTAGAAGGGTTACCTCCAGGAAAGGTAGAAGGGGTAAGCAGGTAGTGCAGGAGTCTCTGGTGGCTAT